GACTACCCTCCATATCATACACAAACCTGTATGAACGACTAGGGTATGCCTGGACCAATCAATAACTGTTTCCGCAGGTTCTGCCTGGTCAGACGCGGGTACGTTCCAGTGCGGCCACTGCATATACATCAGGAAGCTGTAAATGATTTAGGACTCCCTGAGATTATGTATTCCAAACAGGATCACAAGTGAAACGGTGTTCTTTTTCCAAACGGGTCCAAGTACCTCCCAGCCGGGTCGCTGACCCGGCTGACCCAGGCTCTGGAGCAGCCACTGGTTAAAGTACTACCTGGGTGTAGTCATGACAACTGGCATATCATTGTGCTGCTATTTCCCGCAAGACTGCTTTATGATGCGTAGAGTACCGAAAGTACTGATGCAAAAGAAACTGATGCAGAATGTACTGATGCAGAGTGTACTGATGCGGAATGTACTGTATGCGGAATGTACTGATGCACAATGTACTGATGCGGAAGGTACAGATGCCGAGACCATTGGTCAGCGGAGCATGCAGCACCCCATCACCACCGCTGCCTGCATTACAGCCCGATTCAGTCAATGTCTTGTTTGTCTGTTGTCCTCGTCATTTCTCCTTTCCCAATACAAATTGGGCGCATGATTTCCTATAAAACATTATGCCTGTACAGGGTGGTGCTAGCTATTGGCCCGGGGTTTATGCAATCTACATTTACACGACAGCTCTATCAAACACAGCGGAATCATACAAAATTCTGTGCTCAAAAATATGTGTATTTCCCAGCAGACTAGTATTCAGAGGTTACCCAGTATACTGTTGACCTCTTCTGCCGCACTGTCTCTCTCTCTCTCTCTCTCTCTCTCTCTCTCTCTCTCTCTCTCTCTCTCTCCTCTCTCTCTCTCTCTCTCTCTCTCTCTCTCTCTCTTCTCTCTCTCTCTCTCTCTCTCTCTCTCTCTCTCTCTCTCTCTCTCTCTCTCTCTCTCTCTCTCTCTCTCTCTCTCTCTCTCTCTCTCTCTCTCCTCTCTCTCTCTCTCTCTCTCTCTCTCTCTCTCTCTCTCTCTCTCTCTCTCTCTCTCTCTCTCTCTCTCTCTCTCTCTCTCTCTCTCTCTCTCTCTCTCTCTCTCTCTCTCTCTCTCTCTCTCTCTCTCTCTCTCTCTCTCTCTCTCTCTCTCTCTCTCTCTCTCTCTCTCTCTCTCTCTCTCTCTCTCTCTCTCTCTCTCTCTCTCTCTCTCTCTCTCTCTCTCTCTCTCTCTCTCTCTCTCTCTCTCTCTCTCTCTCTCTCTCTCTCTCTCTCTCTCTCTCTCTCTCTCTCTCTCTCTCTCTCTCTCTCTCTCTCTCTCTCTCTCTCTCTCTCTCTCTCTCTCTCTCTCTCTCTCTCTCTCTCTCTCTCTCTCTCTCTCTCTCTCTCTGTGGTTTGCCCATCCAACCGTCCCTGCAACCATCTCTCTATCTCTGTCTGCTTTTCCACCCTTCCGTCAGCCATCTCTCTGTCTCTATATGCCCGCCCCATTTGTCCCTCCAACTGCCCCTCTGTCTCTGTTTGTGTTCTCCAACCATCACTCCCGCTTTCTCCCCGCCTGTATGTTTTTCCATCCGTTCCTCCAACCGTCTCTCTGTATATTATACGTCCATTTGTCCCCACAACCATCTCTCTAATCTCTGTCTGGTTGTCCATCGGTCCCTGCGACCGTCCCTCTGTCTCTGTACGTGTTGTCCATCCGTCCCTTTCAAAGTCTCTCTCTCTCCCTCTCTGTCTGCCTCCACCTGTCTCTTGTGCAGTTGATGAGGCAGTTGAAGCGCCTGGCCAGCGTCAATCAGGCACTAAGGAGAGGCCAACAGACGGCCAAGCTGCGCAGCCAAACTCTATCTGAAGAGAAAGCGGCTCTGACACGTCGCTGCAAAGACCTGCCAAACCCAGCTAGAAGCACAAGCATCACAGGAGGGCGGACAAGAAAGTCCCAAAGAAGAAGGGCACAAGGACGTGAGTTATCAGCTAGGAATGTTGCCAACATTCTGTCTTATAAGACACACATTGTGCCATGACATGGCTTGTACCACGGACACCTCACACAGCCACACCTGGGTATGGCTGTGTGAGATGTTAAACAATGCATTGCTGATCCCAGCGTACTCACATCACACCCCACACAGCCACACTTGGGATATAGGTGTGTGGGGTGTTAATCAATGCATTGCTGATCCCAGTGTACTCACATGCATTACTCATACCTTCCATATTTGGCAATGCATAACGAGTCCAGTTCGAGCACTCTGACAAGGTACGTTCGGGCCTGGTTTAAACCTGGCTTTGGAAAATGTATTTTCCATTGCTCTCAGGTTCGGCCTTATTTTCTCTGTGCTGCGCGGATGAGTTCGCAAAGGACGAAACAGTTCTGACCGCAGATTGAGTCCATTAGGATGCTATCACTATGCAGGATCTCAGGTATCTCTTGCATTCTATAATTGTAAATAATCGATGCGAAGACAACAATATTAAAATATCAATATAGAGAATAAATTCTGCTGTCATCGCCACACTACAACGAACAGCACGGATACTCTTCAGTCACGACATTCCACTGATGAATGTGACAGGAAATTTTGGAAAACTTTCATGACTTCGTTGTAGTGTGGCGATGACAGCAGAATTTGTTTTCTTTATTGCTATTTTATAATTGTAGTGATATATTGAGCTCTTCCCTATGATTGAGGTATGCACTCTGCCTGGCACTTGCCATGATTGTATGGTCAAGTGTTCATACCCCCCCCCCCCCTCCCCTTCCCGGATGTGCAACACTCGCATGCAGTGCTATGGCGACAGGATTTCAAGCTGACGTCCTAGGATGTCGCCTCAACTTCTTGCTAAGTCTGTGTGTTGATTAAGTCACTATGGTGATCTTCATTCTTCTCAGGAAAATGACGGAAGGGCAATGCCAGCGACAGCTGATGCCGCAGACGTGACCAGTGAAGCAGTTACGGACCGCTCCAAACAACTCCGCTACTCCCGCGAGGACATGGAGAAAATCCTGCAGGAGCGTTTGGAGTACAAGCTACGTGTGGAGGAGGTAGAGGAAGAGCTAAGTGACCTCAAGGAAAGGTAATGAATTGCTGTGGAAGTTGCCATATTTTCCGGAGTAAAAGCCCCCCACACAGATGTTGTGTAGGGTAATACAGGCATGTACTGTAGCCTGCATTTCACAGACATGTACTGTAGCCTCTATACAGACATGTTCTGTAGCCTGCATTTCACAGTTCATTTGACCATGATAGGATAAGACACCACTGGCTGTTCTCCAGAGTATTGACCTTCTAAGCATGAAGTTACGGACGTTCTCTGATGCCCTTGGCATTTCCCAATGGCGGAGCATGACGTTCTGAAATGTCCAGGGTTTGGGTGGACTTTGTACATAGTTTGTAATGGTCTCATTTAGGGGCTCTAAGCACGACACTAGCACCTGCACGCACGCACGCATGTACACACGTACACATGTACATACAGACACACACACACACATACGTACACACACACACACACATACGTACACACACATACACATACACATACACACACACACACACACACACACACACATAAACACACATAAACACACTTGTACACGCACACACAAATACGCTCACTCAAATTCTCTCTCTTCCCTCTCTCAATATTCCTGCTGACAGTATGGGCATCGAAGTGGACCTTCGCTCATTTCAAGTCGCGTCACCGATTGCAACGTTACCAAGGAAACGGAAAACGTCTCGACTCCGTGGCTTGTAAGTGATGAGAATATTATACTCCAGTCTCCGGAGGCGTGGGTTTCAATCCCACCGCTGCCACCAATGTTGTCTCTGACCTTCTTCACCTGCTCCCAGCCCTGTGCCATCTCCACATTTATACAATGGACGACGATGACTACAATTAGAAGACTGTTTACTGATACGAAGACGAAACACAACTGGACATGACGAACTCAAGGCGAAGACTGCTTTCCACACCCCCAGCAACACGCGCATGCGCCAACACCACGTACACACGACATACACAAAATAGCGTACTGCAATAGTATCACAGCCAGTACCAAAGCAGTGGTACTAGCATGTGCCTAGCGGGGTCTACGCGAGGGCTTACAGTCCGAGTGGATCACGTCGATATTTCATTGACTTCAAGCACATCACTTTCAAACCATATCCTTTCTTATACACAAGAATGGACTCGGATGTAGGGACAACTAGTAACTTGTAGTTCCTTGGTCTTTTTCTTTTCTATAAATTTGTTATGCATGTGTACGTGTAGTATTTTTAGCGCAAGTTTCTATTTCCTGTATGACATCATGGACATGTCGCAAGGAGTGCTGCAAATTGGTTCTCAGCACGTCTGGCACTGAATTCATGTCACACGGCAGATGACTGACTCATTGCCGGTTGCTAGTGTTTCTGATTACCAACCCGAGAAGCCGGTTTAGTTTGTGTGACCATGTGAACCGTTAGTACCATCTCCCCAAGTTCCCTGTCCCCGGCTTCACTGTCCCTGAAACCATTATTCCGTGCCCCCTAGTTCCCTGTCCCCTGGCTCCCTGTCCCCTGGTCCCTGGTTTCCTGTCCTCTGGTTCCCTGTCCTCTATCTCCTGCCAATGTCTTTTCTCCCCTGGCTCCCTGACTCCCTGTCCCCTCAGGCCTGTTTCCCTGTTCCCTGTCCCCTGGTTCCCTGTCCCCTGGTTCCCTGTTCCCTGTCCCCTGGTTCCCTGTCCTCTGTCCCCTGGTTCCCTGTCCTCTGTCCCCTGGTTCCCTGTCCCCTGGTTCTCTGGTTCCCTGTCCCCTGGTTCCCTGTCCCCTGGTTCCCTGTCCCCTGGTTCCCTGTCCCCTGGTTCCCTGTCCAGGCCCGGAGGAAGGAGTTCGGGAGTGGTCCGGCCAACCTCTGAGGGGGTGCAAAGGACCTCCCCCGGGAGAAATATATAAAATTTACGTGAAATAGAGCGAATTTGGGCATCTCTAAGGCTCCAGAAAATGCAGAAAATTATAGTAAAAGAACACAAACACAACCTTTTTTTATCCATATCAGCAAGAGTACATAAAACTCTTATGTACTCTTGATATCAGCCATACACTGATACAGTGCCGGTCACGGAGTCCGGAGTCATGAGCTACTTCAAAGCACATCACACGTCAGTAGTACAGTCGAGTCATGTACCTCTGGGTTTTTTTACACCGGTTTTGCAAGAATCACATGGACCATCCAGCTGGGAAAGTGGTCCGGCGCCGGACCAGCCTGACCGGTTCCGTCGGCCCTGCTGTCCCCTAGTTCCCTGTCCCCTGGGCCCTGGTTCCCTGTCGGTCCCCTGTAACCTTCTCCCCTGTCCTCTGTCCCGATGGTGTTATCATACCTGGGTTTGGGTAAAGTCATGAGCAAGACTAACATGCTAACACACTACTCTTGTGTGTGAGAAGGTATGTGAAATCTGAGAAGCTGCTCTTCCGGCAACAAATAGCTGCTCTTTAGTGTTTTAGTCACTGAACTATCACCGATGTGTGCCTGCATATCACATACATCTACACACATTGTACATTTGGCACAGGTTTATCATCATTCTTGCACAATATTCTGACTCAAGAATTGCGTTTATCTGTGTGTGTCTGTATGTCTATGCAAATGTGTGTGTTTGTATGTATGTGTGTGTGTGTGTGTGTGTGTGTGTGTGTGTGTGTTTTTCCAAACGTACCAATTTTCTGCACTTATGCAGATTTGAACATCTGGATTCAGCGGCAAATGATGAGGGTGGAGGCGCCGATGTCGTACCTTTCTAAGGTAGCATGCCACAGCATCGTGCAGCTGATTGTCTTTATGACATCATTGGTGATGTTACTATTTGATTGTCTCTATGACATCATCGGTGATGTCACTATTTGATTGTCTTCAAGACATCATCGGTGATGTCACTATTTGATTGTCTTTATGACATCCTCGGTGATTGTCTTAATGACATCATCGGCGATGTCACTATTTGTATTAGGCACTGATGATGTCACTGATGACATCAGCATTGCCGTCACTGGTGACAGAGATGATGACATCGCAGGCGGCATCACAGTTGAGTGTTGATGCCAGCTCAGTGCCTATTCGCCCACACCACTGTAACAAATCGTGTTCGTCATTACTGACTATGCCCCGCGACGACACGAATACCTAGGCCGGTGTGTTTTTCTTGATGGCTTAATTGCCAACTTTCTACCAATTTGGTGGTGTATGTGCTATTCGTCAGTAGGATATGTTGACAATAATGAACAAATGCAGGGAGAACCTGAGGTTACTTTAGCTGCAGGCTGCTGCAACTATTATGTGCGTTGATCCATTCTCATGGGCATTGAGCGCTGGACGCAGGAGTTTTTGCAATGTGATGTTGATCTGGTGATGTATGTGAACATGTGGTGGTATTCTTCAGTCTATGAAAGCATCCCCCCCCCCACCTTCCTCCACAAGTACACACACACACACACACACACGCACGCACGCACGCACGCACGCATGCACGCACGCACGCACACACACACACCAGCAGTCCTTACATCGCATGCGGGGGATATTGAGCGGGAGACCGTGAATCAAGGCAACAGAACTAATGAGTTAACAGCCGATCATCCGTAAATGTTATGCTCCTTGCCTGCAGTTTGGACACAGTTTGAGTTCATTCCTACGTGCCAAGAATACTATGGCGTTAACTTAATACTATGGCGTTAACTTAATGCTATGGCGTTAACTTTTAAAATACTATGCCGTTAACTTGCGTATTAGGCTCACATTGTACATACTAGTGGTAATGGCTTGGGCGATAGCAGAGAATGTGTATGTTGCATCTCCATATATGGAATCTTCTGCTCCTCCATGTGACCGGTCGTGCCTTTCACTGAGCAAATCTGGACGAGCGCTCCGCTCCCTATTCAATGCACGTTATTTCGGGGGATTCACACCACAGTTAAGCTTGAGCAGGCTAGTGAAATGTGCGCTGCACGATCACGCAGTACGTTATATGGCTCCAGCAGCTAGCGCAAACGTCACCGGGTTTACTGCACGATCAACCTTGCGAATAACGACCCTCGATCATGCATGAGCAAACTTGAGTGTTGTTATCCGGGAGGGGTGAGGGTGAAAGCGTGTAGTCAAATGGTCATTAGGTCTGAAGATTGCGGCGTTAATCACAATTTTAAGGTGTTGTTATTCCCGAGGTCATTATTCACGAGGGTGGTTATACCAAATTCCAGTGGAGTCGCGCGCTGGAGAATGTTGAGCCCAAGAACATCCAGCTTGAAACGCTAAGAACGCCGCAGCCTAAAGTTAAGAACGACGGTGCTGGTTTTATTATTATTATTATTATTATTTATTGCAACATCTCAAGACTCGGCGGAAACACCGGCCAATGTTACGAGAGTGGGTGATTGCCAACCACGGCGATAAATAGAAATAAGGAGAGGAAAAAAGAAAGAGTAGCAAAACGAACAGCAACAACAACTCCGTAAAGAAAGATAATGTCAAATAAAAACAGTGAAAAACACAGAGACGCAAAGGACATGTGGATAATGAGCTATGCATGTCGTAGTAAATAAGGGGCGGCACGGATCTTAAACAGGCGGAGTGAGGTCAGGTCCTTAACTTCTCTGGGTAGAGTGAGCCAAACAGAATAAGCAATAAAGAGAGGGGAGCGCAAAAGAGTGGATGAGTTACACTTAGGGAGTAAGAGCGAGTTTCTAGTTCTTAGAGAAGAGAACCAATTAAAACACATGAGATGAGGTGGGCACAACTCAAGCTTAATAGAATGGACAAGAGAAGCCAGGTGTGCACTGCGTCCATGTGATAACGGGGTTGTGTGAGCGATTTTATAAAGGGCGGATGATGAGAGCATGCGGGGTTGACGGAGGAGAATTTTAAGGATTTTCTTGTGATGTATTTCAAGCTTTGCAGCAGCAGAAGAGGATAACCCAACCCAAGACGTATCTGCATAATGAAATATTGGGCGAAGGTAGGCTAAATAAAAAAGAAGCTTGCAAGAAAGTGGGAGGTAGGAGCAGTGGGGGGAGAGAATTCCTAAGGATTTACTTGATTTTTTACAGATATATTCGATGTGAGGTACCCAAGAGAGTGCAGAGTCAATCACAATGCCAAGGTGTTTGTGAGAAGACACTATGTCAATTGGATTTGGAAAGTTGGCATGGATGAGGGTTGTGAACTCCGGCTGGGGCGGGAAGAGCATGATCTTTGTTTTTGATAGATTTGGGGACAACCTCCAGGACGACATCCAGGAAAGAACTTCCTGAATGCCAGCACGCAAGTTGTTTTTCAGGCCAGTGAGGGAAGCTGATGGGGTGAGAAGGGTCGTGTCGTCAGCAAACAGAGACGTTCCAGGGAAGACTGCAGGTAAGTCGTTTACGTAAATTATAAATAGTAGGGGACCAAGAATTGATCCTTGAGGAACGCCCGACAATACTGGCTCTGCAGCCGAGGATGTGCCAAGCACAGTTACGTACTGATAACGCCCAGAGAGATAAGATTTCAGCCAGGAGAGTGGTTGTTTGCGTACCCTGAATGCATGCTCGAGCTTTGCCAAAAGTCCTCGATGCCAGACGGTATCAAAAGCCTTGGCCAAGTCAAAGAAGCATATTCCAGCAAGCGCTCTGTTATCCCTATGCTGGCACACCTGCTGCACGATACGGGTCAGTTGAAGGGAGGTGGAGTCGCCTTTACGAAACCCAGATTGTGCGGGACTCAGAAACGGCGAAACATGTCTGTATAAGTGGTCATAAAAGATACGTTCACATACTTTGGACACGCAGGGAAGAAGAGAGATAGGGCGGTAGTTTGCAGGTTCATGGCGGGAACCTTTCTTGAATACAGGTATGACTTTCGCTGTTTTCCATGCGGAAGGGAATATGCCCGTGGTAAATGACATGTTGAAAATATGGCACAAAGGGAATGCTATGGATGGAACCAGGGCCTTGAGGACCCGGTTGGGGATGCCGTCAGGACCAGACGCCTTGCACGTCGGAAGCTTCTTCAGATGACGCCGGACAGTGGCAGTTGTAGTGATGACGGACGTGAAACAAGCTGAGGGCTCCGAGGGGGTGAGAATAGGGGGAATAGAGAGCAACGGGTCATCTGGCCGAGTCACAGAGGCAAACTGGGCGTTTAATGCCGTAGCTTTGGCCAAAGGGTCAGCCGCCTGCTGAGTCCCTGTTGTGAGTGACGGAATTTCCCGTGATACGTTTCGAATTCTTGCTTGTCTCACAAACTGGTGAAGCGATGGACGGTGTCTACCCTGCAAAGTAGTTTGCACTGAGCGGATATACGCTCTGTACTTTGTCTGCGTCAGGGTTTTCACTATATTTCGCTGCTGTTGGTATGCTTGTTTGTTTTGTTGTGTTGGGTACTTCTTAAAAATGCTATAGAGATCATATTTCCACTTGATTGCTGTGCGGAGATGGGCATCAACCCAGGGTGGCTGACTGGGCCGTGGGCAGCGGTGAGAATACGGCTGCTTTCCGAATGGCCAGAGGTGCTTCTCAAGGGTACTGTTGAGAATGGAAGAAAAGTGCGAAAGCGCATCATCGACGTTGCTGGCACGCTTGTGCCAGCTCCAGTCAATATCAGAGAGCTCTGCATTCACACTATCCCAGACGGAAGATGGCACGGATTTAAAGTCATATTCCGGCTTTGCAGGAACATTGCTGAAGTGGCTTCGGGGTGCAGCAGCGGGATGTCCGCTTGCAGCAGGTTCCTCACGGTAAACAGCATCAATAGGCAGTAGGAAATGACTGAGGATCTGTGCGTGGTCAGATGCACCAAGAGGAGCAACAGATGTAACAGAGAGTAGTAGGTGAGGATGATCCGTGAGTACAACGTCAATACACGATGTTGAGCCGTGGGGGGGGGGGGGGGTAAAGTGTGTGGGGAATGTCACCATTTGCTCAAGGGCAAAACAAGAGAAGAGGTTACGGAACTCCCTTCCAGCACGATTCGTGGTGTCACTAGGAGACCAGTCAGAGTGGCGAGCATTCAAGTCTCCTGCAAGTACAATCGCCGAATTGGGGAGGCTAATATTGGACAGACAGTCCTCTAGGAGGTCACTAAATGCCTGGACTTGGGAGATGCTGTCTCCAGGGGGTCTGTAAACAGAGCAGATGATGAGGGGGAGTGAGGGAAGGATCACTGGCCGCAATTCGAGCCAAACCGCCTCCAGTCCGCAGCGCTCAAGGTCGAAGCGGCGCTTGATGGACATGAACGATCTGTCAGCTACAAGAGTAGCAACACCGCCATAGCCTCTTGCTGGCAGGTTATCAGAGCTGGTCGTGGGTGGGCGGTCCAGGCGGTATGACGTGTAGCCTGGAATTGAGACGTCTATGGCAGCTGTCAGCCACGTTTCACATAGGCAGATTATGTCTGGAGAATACTGCTCACAGGCTTGACTAAGCTCAGCTAACTTATTTACTAAGGAGCGGCAGTTAAGTGAGAGCACTGAGAAGGATGAAGGTAATTGGGCAGGTTGATTGGGAGTTTTATTAGTTTGTCGTCCAGAATCAGGAAGGAATGGTGGCGCAAGTGGATTGAGCGACGCACTCAGTTCTGTTGAGTGATGCGGTCTGATTTGAAGCGCCATTCACGAACCGAAATGCCACTTGGCCAGAAGTCTAGACTCTGGACCTTCTGCCAATGCTCCTCCGAAATAACAAGGTGGGCATACGCCAGACCAAAATACCGTGCCGCAGATACTGAGCATTTGATTACAGTCACACTGCGGTCCTCGCACCATTTAGCGATTGAACTTGCCGAGCAACCGACATCAACACGGCCAACGTAGACGGCCTTGCACTTTAGCCGACTGGCACCCCTTAACCGGTCGTGCTTGCGTGTTTTCCGGCGCATTTGAGGTACATATGATCTAGTACGAATTGTTTCTAAGAACATGCAACATAATAAGAACGTCGTCCTGGTTACCTCAAGCGGCATGTGCCATACTGCAGATTTCGGGTTTAGAGCCTAAGGGCGAGGACGCCATCGCTATCATTGCTACGGCAATGGGCGTTCAAGGTTCAAGGTGGTACTCTGTGTGAGAAGGTTGAGGAACATCTCGCCAACAGTGCAGCCAGCAGCTTGAGTCAGTGTTGTCAATGGGCTTGTAGAACAAGCTCTGAGGACTATAGGCCGGCCTTTCACATACCTGTCAACCGTCCCGACTTGGCCAGGACCGTCCCGATACCGTGGGCGGTAATAGGCTCCCAGAAGTGCATTAGTCGCATGCCTCATGTCTACATTCCGATGCATTTTCTTATCAAGGTATATCATTGTCCCACTCTCAGGTTTCCAACGGTTGGCAGGTATGACTGCACAGCGGTGATTCCTCCGAACTTCCTAGCCAGACCCCCCCCCCCCCCCCGCCCCCGCCCATACTGGGGGGGGGGGGGGGGGGGGAGGGGGTACGAAATAGTGACAGGTTCTCTCTGCTGTCGGTAGGTTCTGGTGTGTGTGCCACTGTTGAAAGAGAGTTTGGGATGCTGGATGGCTATAATTGAACGGTTATCATCTACCAAATAGATACCATCCGATTCCCTGTCTAGCCAGATTGCTTGAATGCGGTGATGTGTGGAGTCAAGAACATTACAAGTCATATAAGAACTCAGTCTAGGTCCAATCCTAAAATTCTACTCTAGGAAAGCAGTGTATGTGTATAATGGTGACCCTCGTGTAACGTCGTGTTGCATGCAAAGGAAACATTTTTCTTCCTGCCTGGAGTTAGTCGGCTACTGTGAGGGCCACTACCGGCAGATACGTTACCTTAGAGGGATGGGTCCATGAGGTGCAGCGCATCCAGATGTCTTGCTATAGACGTATGGTGCAGTGGAAAGGTATTTGTGAGGCGGATATCCAATGCGCCCCTGCGCAAACCCCTTGCAAAGTTTAACTTACACTACAAGACCCTACAGCAAATGAGAGACGGTTTGTCCATTCCGTTGACCTAAAGGTTTCAAGTTGTGCATGATCCAGAATGGTCGGCAAGGAGGAGGCACACGAATTTCTAAGGAAAAAAACCTCTCCACCCCGCGCGTATGCAGTGTATTATAACAGGATAACGAGTGACGGGGAGGGATCGGAGATTTTTAAATTTGAACTCGGATGGTGAGCCAATATTATGATGAAGAAAGGAAAAGACGAGTCGAGTGCTGACGGTATACGATCTGGTTACGTTGGTAGACAGTTTGTCATAACTCGTAACATTTTGTCCTTTCCCTTTCTTCATCAAAGGGTTAAATAGTCATTTATTTTTCAACTCGAATCTCATAGAATTATGCCAATAACGCTCATATGACAAACAAACCCAGGATGTGGGAGATGCCCAAACATGGAAAAAACTGAAAGTTCAATAGAGTCATCGACTGGAGATGATGATGATGATGATGATGATGATGATGATGATGATTTTCTTTGGGTTAAAAGGTTAACTTCATCCTCGTTTTCCTATTGCCTTGTATTGGAATTTGCCCATAAAAGTGGCTACGGTGTGATAATGCATTTCTATAAATTATTTCGTGTTTTAACATTATTTTCAGAAAATTGCTCTTACAATACCTTGCGTTTCATATTCATAATATTGTTGCCCGTAAAAGCGGCTTGGTCACATGATGATGATGATGATGATGATGATGATGATGATGATGATGATGATGATGTAAGCATAGTAGGACTACTTTTGTTTTGTAAGTCAATCTCATTCTCCACACTTTGCTGTCATTTGGTTATGTTTTAAAGTAGTTTTTATGACCTGATGTTTGTTTTTTATATTTGTAGTTCTATTGTTGACATCTTTTGTCTTTTCTTTGGGTTAAAAGGTTAACTTCATCCTCGTTTTCCTATTGCCTTGTATTGGAATTTGCCCATAAAAGTGGCTACGGTGTGATAATGCATTTCTATAAATTATTTCGTGTTTTAACATTATTTTCAGAAAATTGCTCTTACAATACCTTGCGTTGTATATTCATAATATTGTTGCCCGTAAAAGCGGCTTGGTCACATGATGATGATGATGATGATGATGATGATGATGATGATGATGATGATGATGAGAGAGGCAGGTGTTGTTGACGTCGAGACCGAGCCTAGATTATTGCCGTGCGGTGATGAGGATCTACCAGGAGGACGTTCGCTCAACAGAAGTACTGAGGCTCGTCTTGACATGCGGGCTCGGGGCTTTTGGTCGTGGCAACAAGACGCTTTTTTTGATGTGCGGATTACCCATCCCGCAGCGTCCGTGTTGTCTCGATCAAAAGCCTTGAGTCAGCTGAAGTCCCATGAACGGGCAAAAAAGAATCAATATGCCAGCCGCGTTGTGAATGTCGAGCGAGGATCGTTCACCCCACTGGTGTTCTCGACTTATGGTTTCAGCGGGCCTGAGACAACTCAATTCCTAAAGTCTCTTGCCTCTCTCTTTGTAGAGAGAAGCCAGGATCTCAAATATCCTGTTGTCATGGGTATGTTGCGTACCCGCCTGTCGTTTTGCCTTTTGAGGTGGGCCATTACGTGCTTTCGTGGTTGCCGAGGGTCTTATAACAGACGGCGGGTGAATTCCTTTGTGGCCCAGTGTCGTTTGGCCGCATAGTGAATTTTTATGCTATGCCTCTCAACAATATCACTATGGATAACATCACATTTTTTTAAATAACTATTTGGTAAAGT